CCTCCTCCCTCTCACGCTCTCTGTCTCTCATTCTCTCTGTCTCAAATAAATAAATAAAATCTTTAAAAAAAAAAAAAAACCCATCACTCAAAAAATACATAGTTTTAGTTTTTTTTTAATTTTCAGAAATCTTATCTATGTAACAAAATATAACAAGAAATACTCATATTCCCTCCATCCATATTTTAAAAGTAACTATTTTGTCATATTTGTTTCTTGTGTTATTTCATTCTACAAACAGTTAAATATCAAGTTCCCTTTAATCCTACTCCAAGCAGAGTCTGGAGTGTCTGACTGTAGATGACAGAAGTGCCAAAGAAACAAGAAGGTGACCCTAAATGCCAGAGAAGTGAAGGGAAAGTTAATTCTGAACCCTATCTTCTGAGGCACTGTTTTCTGTCTAGCTTGTCTAAACATAATATTCATGAGCATCAACTGTGCTATTTCATATACATTCTGAGGCAGAGATATTGCAGGTTTGGTTCCATACCACCACAATAAATATCACAGTGAAGAGATTCAAATGAATTTTTGGTTTCCCAGAGCATATAAAATATGTTTACAGTATTCTGTAGTCTATTAAGCATGCAATGGCATTAGGTCTGTCAAAATGTACATACCTTAATTAAAAACACTTTATTGCTAAAAAATACTATCCGTCATCTGTGCTTTCAGTGAGTCATAATCACTGATCCCAGATGACTGTAACAAATGATAATAATGAAAAAGTTTGAAATATTGTGGGAATTACCAGGATGAGACACAGAGACACATTGCAAGCAAATGCTGTTAAAAAAAATGGCACCCACTGACTTGTTTGATGTAGGGTTACCACAAACCTTCCATTTGTGAAATATGACACACAGTGTCTGTGAAACACAATAAAGCAAAGTGCAATAAAATGAGGCATGCCTTTATTATAATTCTCATTGCTCTGCGGTATTCCAATAGTGAACATATCATTGAGTATTGATGGAAATTTGGGTTTTTTTTTTTTCAATTTAAGGCTATTATGAGGTAATACTGCTGTAAAAATTCTTGTATATGTCTGTTGGTGAACGTGTGTATGCATTTCTGTTGATACAGGGTACACCTATATTCTGCTTTAATAACTGCCAGTTTTTTACGTGGTTGTACAATTTCCACTTTCCTACATCCAACAGTGTATGAAAGTTCCAGTTTCCCCATATCCTTGTTAATACTTGGTTTGGGATGAAATACAAATTTATAAATTTAAATCTTATTTAAAGTTTAGCTATTCTGGAGTACATGATGAAGTTCATTATAGTTTTAATATTAATTACCCTGATTAATAAAAAAACTGAATACTTTTTCATGTTTATTGGCAAATTAGGTAACTTCTTTTGTGATGTGCCCATTTTTCTATTGGATTTTTTGCTTTTTTTATTGAGTTGTAGGAGTATTTTATATATTATAGCTAAGAGACTTTGTTGGATGTATTTCAAATATTTTCTCCCATTTTGTGGCTTGCCTTTCACTCTCAATGGTGTCTTTTGGTAAACAGAAATTTTAAATATTTCTGAGTGCAATTTTAACATATTCCTTTATGTTTAGCACTTTTTGTATACTGTTTAAAAAATCTTTGCCTGTACCAAGTTCATGAAAATGTTCTGTTTCCTTCTGAAAGCTTCATAGATTTTACCCCTCACATTTAGATCTAGAACCCACCTGGAAATGATTTTTTTTAATACATAGATTTATTTTTCCAGTCAGGTTAAAGATAAATTAGGTAAAAAGAAGCAGATGACTTCTCTTATTGTGACTTTTTTTTTTTTGCCCCAAATATTCACTCATTAGGTCTTTTTGAATTTTATTTTTTATTTTTTAAAAGATTTTATTTATTTGTTAGAGAGAGAGAGAGAGCACAAGCAGGGGGAGCTGCAGGCAGAGGGAGAAGCAGGCTCCCCACTGAGCAAGGAGCTGGATGCGTGACTTGATCCCAGGACTCCGGGAGGCAGACCCTTAACAACTGAGCCACCCAGGGACCCAGGTCTCCTTGAATTTAACAAATGATTTATAAGCCCTTTAATTTGTGCTATATAACTATAGTTATAAACTAAATAACTTGGTGAGATAGCATAATGTCATAGAAGACAAAGCTAAGTCACCTGGCCTAGATTTTTTTGGAATTGATGTTTGTGAAGGGTGTGAGATAGGAGCCTCTATTCATTTTTTCTTTCATGTATATATCCAATGGACCCAGCACCATTTCCCCAGGTGGAGCTCACAGACTTCAGGAGGACTGGGCTGCAGGCTGCAGGCTGCAGGACCAAGCAGAAGCAGCCCTCTGGGGCTCAGCGTTTCACCTGACCTTAGTCTTCAGCAGAGGGTTGCAGGGAACTGTGTCTTTTGGACTGGGGGGTGGGGGGGCTTCCGGGAGGGACCTGGAGTGGGCAGCGGAGATGCCTTCGAAGAAGAGTCTGAGGATCCCCGAAAATTGTGTTCAAAACATCGTGTGTACGTGTGCACATGCTCTCCTGAGGGAAGAGTCGCTAGGTTTCATCCTGTGGACTGCCCCCCATTCCCCTGAAGTCTGTGTTTTCCAAACATCTAAGAGCTGCTTGGCTGGATGAGGGCCCACGGGTCAGTCAACTTAGGTTCTAGTAACTAACCTGGGAGCCCGGCCGATCACTTGCCTCCAGCCTATTTCTCTGAGAACGCGGTCAGTCCAGCGGGCTCCGAGGTTGCTTCCGCTCGCACCTCCCGCGGGCCGACCCCTATCCCGCGAGCAGAGAGGTGCAGCCTCGCAGCTCCGGGAGCTGGGCAGAATGGGTGGCCGCGGGTCGGCGGGAGCGTGGCTCGCAGCTTGTCGTCCTCTAACCCTGTGGAGGGCCGGGGCTGCCGGCGAGCGGCCCCTGGGAGGGGTCGGGGGTGTAGCGAGGGTGATCTGCCCAAAAGGCTAACCCTTCGGAGTAGGCGGATCCGCGCCCCCCCCCCAAACCCACACCCCCGGGCACGTGAAGCCTGCTCAGGCGCCCGGAGCCGCGACTCAGTGTCGCGTACCTGCAGCGGACTATGAGGCTCGCCATCTGCGCCCTGCTGTGTGCAGGGACCCTGGGTGAGTGCGCACTGGGAGCCGGGTGGGCCCTTGCTCTCTAAGACCCGGACTGGGTGCCAGCCGAGGGTCAGTCGTAGAGGGACACTGCACAGCCTGGATCTGAGGGGTCCGGAAGCAGCCCAGTGCCTGGCTGGTCTCAAAGTGCTTCTGCCCGTGGTGCATACAGGCTTCTGACAAACTTTTGTAGCCTAGGGCTGGGGGCCGTGTCCGGCTTACTGGCCTCATGTTGTACAGCTGGATGAGCTAAGGATGGTTTTTACATCTTTAAATGGTTGAAAGAAGATAAAAAGAATTAATAGATTTGACACATGTAAATTATAGGAATTTAAAATTTCAGTGTCTATAAATAAAATTTTATTAGAACACAATCATCAGGTAAGTATTGTCTGGGGTTGCTCTCCGGCTTCAAAGACAGAATTGAGTAGTTGCTACAGAAACCATATAGCCCACAAAGCCTAAAATACTTACTCACTAGCCTATTACTGAAAAGATTTATGACACCTGGCCTGGACCCTGTTGCTCCCGTTCACAGCCAAGGAAACAGGATCAGAGGAGAGAAGGGATTTTCTCCAGGGCTCATGGATCTGTGTTAGTAAATGGGAGAAGGGCTTAATGTCAGGTATGCTTGACCCGTCAGGTATCTAATCAGAAGGGTTTTTCCTGCTTTGAACTGTACAACCTCTCCCATCCTTATCACACAACAAGGAGATAGAGGAACGTGTGGGAAAAGCAATCATCCTAGAATAGGATCCACCTGCCACTCATTTCTGTGTACTCTGGGCCATCCCTGGACCTCTCTGAACTGGTTTCCTCATTAGGTAGGAATTGCTTTTTTATAACCATCACTGCGAAAGTGGAATGAGATAATGTACCTAGACAGAGCTAGACACAGGTGAGTATCACTGGTAAAAATCCTGCGCATAAATGTAGGGGGCCCCTTCCTGTGTTGGACAGAGGGGGCCCAGGGCTCTCGGCTGGGTAACTGTAAGGAAGGTGGGTAATGGTACACTGTTAATGAGCTCACGCAAGTGAACACCTCCCCTCACCCCCCCAACCCCGGCCCCATGACTCAACAACTGTTGGTTCTTTCTAGCCCTGGTTCTGCCTGGCCTCAGGCTGTCTTAAATAACTTCCAGAGGGGTAAGGTTTCTTACCTGAGGAGAGAGGTAACCTGGGGACAGCAGAGGGAGGACAAGGCAGGAAGGGCAAGGAGTGCCATGGTGGGCCTCCCTGGCCTACTACTGCCGCATGGGGCCACCCAGCGAGCTCTGCTGGGGCTGGGGAAAGCTGGAAAGGTAGTGTACAGCCGTGTTCCACCTACAGCCACCAGGAAATCCAGAGTGAAACCCCCTGGTTGCTCCCCAGTTCCTCCTGGATAGGATATGTGTTGTTTTTTCTTCCTCTATCTCCTCTCCTGGCAATGTCAGGCGCTGACCGAAAGCTCATTTCCCAATCGGCTCTATATTTACAAACCAGAGGCAAGAGCGGCCTACCTCCCCCCATCCCCACCCCCCACAGTCCTTCCCACTGGGCACTGGATATGGATCAGGCTGGAGTCTAGGATGTGCTTTCTTCAAAGCTCAGTGTTCTCTTCTGACAAAAGCTCTTCTGATAGCAAATGACAGAAAGGCAACCAAAGGAGTTTAAAATTAAAAAGATCAGAAGGGAGAGGGTTGTTATTAGTAGACCTTGCCAGAGCCAAGAACCAAAGGTTCAGAACAGCCTGTACGTCCACTTTGGCCTGTACCTCCTACCTCAGCCTCTCTGGAGCTTAAGAGGTTTCTCCACACAGTGAGCATGTGGCCACCAGCAGCTGTTCCTTCCTAGGATCAATCTGAAATATCCACAGTGGGCTCTGATTGTCGTTTCTTGAAATTGTCACATGACAGGCATGGAGTGTTATTGAATTGGCCTAGGCTAGCTGGCTTGCAGTCTCTCTCCTTCTTTTTTAAAATAATTTTTACTGAAGGATAATTTACATATAATAAAACGCACTCATTTTAAGTATACATGTAGTTCAATGGATTTTGGTAACTACACCTACCCATGTAACTACCACCACGATCAAGGTATAGAACTTGTCCATCGCTCCCAAATTGTTCTCTTCCCCGTCATTCCCACTTTCTGCCATTATAGGTAAGTTTCGCTGTTTCACATAAATGGAATCATCCAGTACATAGTCTGTTGTGACTGGCTTCACTCAGCACAATTGTTTAGCGATTCATCCACATTGCGTGCATCAAAGTTCATTTCTTTTTATTGATTAGTCGTATTCCATTGTATGGCTTTACCACAGTTTGTGTACCTCTTCACTTGTTGATGAACTTGTAGCTTGTCTCCAGTTTGGGGATATTATGAGTAAGGCTGCTTATGAACGTTAGTGTACAAGTCTTCGGGTAGACATAGGTTTTCATTTCTTTCTTTCTTTCTTTTTTTAAAGATTTTACTTATTTGTTTGTCAGAGAGAGGGAGAACACAGCAAGGGGAGCGGCAAGTAGAGAGAGAAGCAGGCTCCCCGCTGAGCAGGGAGCCCGATTCGGGGCTCCATCCCAGGGCCCTGGGATCATGACCTGAGCCAAAGGCAGACGCTTAACGACTGAGCCACCGAGGCGCCCCAGGTTTTCATTTCTTTTGGGCAAGTTTCTAGGAGTAAAATTCTGGGTCATATTTAACTAGTTAAGAAAATGCCAAACTTTTTTTGAGTAGTTGTACCATTTTACATTGCTGCCAGCAATGTAGGAGAATTTCAGTTCCTCCGCATCCCAGCAACACTTGGTATTGTCAGTCTTTTCACATTAACCACTTCTGTTGTGGTATTTCACTATGGTTTTACTTTGCATTTCATTGATGAACAATGATGTTGAACATCTTTCTATGTTCTTACTGGCCACTCGTATATCTTCGTTTATGAATTATGTGTTCAAATCTTGTCCCATTTTTAAATTCAGTTATTTGACTTATTATTGAGTTAAAAAGCCCTTTGTATATTCTGGATACAAGTCCTTGGTCACATAGATGTATTGCAATTATTTTTTCCAAGTTTGTGGCTTAGCTTCTTTTCATTTTCTGAATGCTATCTTATGAAGAGCAAATGTTTTACATTTTGACCAAGTTCACTTACCAAATTTTTATGTTTCGGTTATTACGTTCTGTGTCCTCTCTAAAAATATAATTGGCTGCCCCTAAAGTTGCAATATTTTGTTTTATTTTAGAAGTTTTATAACTTCAACTTTTCTATTCTAGACTAGGATACATTTGTAGTTTTTGTGTATGGTTGAAGTAAAGGTTGAGATTCATTTTTCTCACATGAATATCCAGTTATTCCAGGACTTGTTTTTGTTTTTAAGATTTATTTATTTATTTGACAGAGAGAGCACAAGCAGGGGGAGCGGCAGGCAGAGGGAGAAGCAGGCTCCCCACTGAGCAGGGAGCCCAATGCGGGACTGGATTCCAGGACCCTGGGATCATGACCTGAGCCGAAAGTAGACACTTAACTGAGCCACCCAAGTGTCCCCAGGACTTGTTTTTGAAAAGGATATTCTTTCTCCACTGAATTAACTTAGCAGCTTTGTTAAAAATCTACTGACCCTATAAATGTGGGTTACTTTCTAGACTCTCTGTTCTGTTGTATTAAGCTGTATGTCTCTCCTTGTGTCAATATCACACTGTCTTGATTACAGTAGCTTTATAATAAGTCCAGACATTAGGTAGAATGAGCCCTCCAACTCTATGGTACTACTTCAGGCTTGGTTTGGCCATTTAGATACTTTGTGTATGCATATACATTTTTGAATTAGCTTATCAATTACTATAGAAAGCAAGTTTAGTCTTGAAATATTGTTGTGATTTCATTTAATTTATAGATAATTTTGAGAAGTGTTAACCTCAAAAAAACAGTAAGTTATTTTACCAGCAAAAATGTTTTTTTTTGGGAATAGCAGAAGATCATATTTCAGGGTATGCAAGCTATGGCAAAACCATAGGCAAGACTAGAGAACAAAAGACAGGAGATGCTTTTTTTTTTTCCCTTTTTTTAAGAGAAAGAAAGGGGGGA